TATATAAGATTTTTAAATAAAGTTTATAATAACTAAAATAATTTTAAAGTAATATATTTTTTTCTCAAAATAATTATATAATTATTTTCGTTGACAATTGCACCACTCTAAAATGGACCTTAAGTGTCTATTTGGGACAACTTTTTGAAAAGTTATTACTCAAGGAGTTTGGTCGGACTCCAACTCTTGAAGACACGTGAATTTTCTCTCTCTTGTACGCATTAATGAGAAAAAAATTCCAAGTTGTTGCGGGCTAGAATATACGCGGCGATAGAGTTATAATTCTATGTCTTAGCATGCACGGATATCCAGCTCACACACAGAGAACACAATATTTTTTACATGGAAAACCCGGAAAGGGAAAAAACCACGGGGCCTAGCCCATTTGAAAATGATTCCACTAAAATTTGAGGAAAGTACAATGGTCTGACTTGTCCTTGAAGATGACCATATTACAAATATCAACTAAGAGTTTTGCAAAAGTCCAACGTCATTCCACTTTTAGATGGTGGTCTGGTAGCACTCCGGTTTCAGGCGGTGGATCGATAGTGGCACTTCAGTGTCAGGGGGTACTTCAGCTTCGGATGGCACTCTGGCGTCCCTTGGTGGTCTGACGGGTGTGCGGTAGCACTCCGACGTCCCTTGGTGGTCCGGCGGTGGTGTGGTAGAACTCCGACGATGGTGCGGCAGTACTCCGGCGATGGTGCGGCAGCACTCCGGCGTCCCTTGGTGGTCCGGCGGTGGTGCGGCAAACCTACGGCGGTGGTGCGATAGCACTCCGGCGATGGTCGAGGAGGAGCTAGGCGGCTAGAGCTTTCTTCCTTCTTCTCTCTTGGCTTCCTCCCCTTTCATGAGGAATGAGGGGTCTATTTATAGATTTTCTGGAGTGGCATAGCTTGTAAATAGGTGTGATATTAGGGGTGAATTGGGAGTGTTTTGAATGGACGGCCGATATCGAATCCTTTGATCATGCACCATTCGTTGGGAATTTAAAGGCCTTATTGATGTCGGAATTCGGCGATCTTGGGCTCGTTGGATTAGTCTCGTCGATTCGCTCGATTCGAGTATAAGCTCGTTAAAATCGGAGACCGTTTGGTAACTCAAATTGCGGTTTGAGTCTTCCAACAGCGCTTCGGGTCCTTGATTCAGACTCATTTGGGTTCGGATTGGGTTGAATTTGGTGTCGTTGGATATGTATTTCTGAGACGCTCAGTTTGACTGTAAGCTCGCTGAAATTGGAGTTCGGGTGCTTCCAGATTTAATTTTCATCTCTATTTTTTCTCAAGATTCGTGCTGGATCAAGCCTATTTTTTGGTAACATATCAGTTGCCCCCCTATTTTCGGACGTGAAAGCTTATATAGTCCGAAAATATATATAGATTTGTATCTTTTGAGCCTCTCATGACTGATAATTATGTTAAGTGTATGATAAATGTGGGCTTTTACCTCATATTTGCTTAAATAAATGTTTTTCCATATTTCTATTGAATAATTTAGATGTATATATTCGAAAATATCTGTAATAAAATATTTTAGGTAATACCCTATGTCGTTAAATCAAATAATATTAAGTTATTATAATTCACCAAAGTTTTTTGTTATAAATAACGAAAAGTTTTTGTTAATGTACATTTATTAAACTGTAACTTTTTAATATTTATATATATATTAGTGTACCATGTAAGACAATATCACAGCTCCGTAATATGACTTAGGAATATAAAAGTTACACCACATAAGACATATACATAACGACATAATGTTTAATCTGGAAGAAAAATACTAGAGATATTAGAGTGACACTTTATTTAATATAAAAGAGCTGCATGATGACACAAAATCCCCAACTATGCGATCAGTTAATCTCACCAACCATTTGAATATTATTCAATGGTTTTCCTTGATGTTATTGATTTTGCCCCCCAGTGGGACAAGCCTCATCTCGAGCAGGAGAATTTTGAATGAACTGTCCAAAGTAGCCTTGTCGAATAAGTCTCTCAATTTCATTCTTTAGCGGCCTACATGCTTCAGTTTTGTGTCCACGACTACGGTGGAAGTGACAGTATTGCTCCTGATTTCTTGAGTTTGGCTTTAAGGGATTTGGCCACTTAACTTTCTCTTCATCTCGGATGGCCATTAAGACATTTGATTGAGATGTGTTAAGGGGCGTATACTCCTTTTTTAGTTGAGGCTCCCACCGAGATTGTTAAGGTAGGGGGCAAGTTATTACTTCCATGTTTCTTCCATTGTGATGATGAATCATCCATCCCCAGTACATTTTTACGCTTCCTAGTTGTTTGCTCAAATTGCTTCTTATGAGCATTAATAGCTTCATCTGCTGAGATTTGGGCCTCCACACGATGAATTAGGTCAGCATATGAATGTATCGTATCTCGCATGAGTGCTGAATAAAAAGGACCAGGACGAAGCCCCCCAAGAAAAACTCCTCTTAGCAACTCAGGATCCACCCCTACAATTTGTCGAGCTTCGACATAAAACCTTTGGAAGTATTCTTTGAGTGACTCTCCTTC